ATTGCAATTCTTTAATTATGAAATTAGAATTAAAAATTAAATATTAAAAAATATCAAATTTTCTTAAAAACAGTAAAAATTGGCCGCCATCTTGGATTTGCCACCATATTGGAAAATTTTGTTAATTGTTAAGTATAGTGCACTTCTTAGACTACACGTTTGGAATGATTTTGAATTCTGTTTAGTTAATGTATTCGAAATATTTTAGATTTTGTTGGTCTCAGAAATTTTTTACCCATGTGTTACCATGGCAATGGCTGTAGCACATACACCCACCACCAGTTTAAAGGCAAACAGGAAGAAAATAAAAGCTTAAAACCTACGCTATCAGAAAAACATAGTGAACGAAAATCACTAATTATATATAAAGGGGAGGGCGGAGGGTTCATGTATTTGACCCATGGACTAGTCTGAAATGAGTCGCACGTCACGGTTGACCTTTATTTTGCATCAGCGTTGGGTAGATTGATATGACGCGAGGTTTCATTCCAAGTTAATTTCAATTAATCCACTGAGTCTGCAGCATGAAGGCTAATCAAATTAATTTTATTTCAGCGAGTCACACAGTCGCACGCACAACATACTACATGTCATGATACCCCCGTCACACTAGAGGCAGAATGAACAAGAATGCCGTCGGAAAGACAATTCTTTGTGCGTTCCTGGATATTCTAAGAGCATTCTAAAAATTGCGAGTGCATTTCAAATAGTTTTACCCATTCTTGTGGTCGGCCTGAATGTTAAAAGCTTTCGAAGTGCATTCCAAGTGGAAAATTATCAATGGCATTTGAGTAGTATTCTAAAAGCACTGTGACTGCATGCATTCTAAATATTCTCACGGCATTCCAACAACATTCGAAACATTCTGATCACATTCTAGGAATATTCGAACTGGCATGCGACTTAAGGCCCCCGTCGCACTTATTCGGAACCAGCAGGAATCAAGCTAGAACCAGCCAAATGAATTAATTGAAAAATCCGTACCATAATCGGGAGGAAATTTCAAATTGCAGTCAGAATATTCCGAATGAAATTCAAATGCCATACGAGTGTGGTTTGACTGCTGGCCGAATACAGACAGAAGTACAGTGTATGTGAGAAGGTGCCTCGAATGATATATGAAGCGAACTCAAATGCAGTCAACTGCTCTCTGTTTGGCTGCCAATGATGGTTTGAAATATAACGAATTCAAACATAATGCAGCTGAAATACCTAAAATACTTAAATTAAAATTACTTTCTAACATGCTTAGAATGTAACACGATACCCAGAGTGTATAAATAACGCCACAGGAATGTAAACTGATCATAATGTTTTGAGTGCTGTCGGAACACAAGAATGGGTAAAAATATTTAGAATGCACTCAGAATTTTTAGAATGTTCTTAGAATGCTCTTCGAATATCCTGGAATGCACAAAGAATTGTATTTCAGATGCCATTCTTAATCATTCCGCCTCTAGTGTGACGGGGATTTTATACTCCGCCAGAATGTTTCGAATGTGCCTCGGATGAGCTGAAATATTAATTTTGGCAGCAATCGAACTATACTAGTGCCCGGTTCAAAGTATATTCTAAATATTCTTACTGCCTTCTTACAGCATTATAAATATTCCTAGTTTTCCAACTACATTCGAACTGCGTTTGAGAGCTACACAGTCGAAAATGCACTCATCATTCCAGGCTAATTCAAGCGCATTCTGAGTATTCCAACGGTACTCTTACAATAATTAAGGTCAATTTGAAATTTTTTCCCCGAATGTGGTTCGAACTTTAAAAATTCTTCGTTTGGGCTCCTTCTTCTTCATTCCTGCTGATTCCAAATAAGTGTGACGGGGGTATAAGGATAGGTTTTTAGAGTTTAATTTAGAATAAAATTCCAGGTAACAGTTAAAACTTTTTCAATTAACATTGTTCCTGAGGTGCCCCCTATCAAATGGGGGTCAAGTGGTTCCCAGAGTATTCCTTTATTTGATCTGGTCATCGATGACTTCCGTTAGCGTTTTGGCACCAATATGGTATCCACTCCAAATAGTGACGCTCTAAATGACTCTAGTCACTTAAGAAGTAGCACACGCCTTGTCGTAGGCCTCTTCGGGATATCTGTAAACTCTGTTTTGACCAGTTTAGCGGTACGGATGAAATCTGACCTCAATAAAAAAAGCCACGCGGTGTCAGTGTTCTACCCAGAAACGGTCATGGTCCCCAATTCATTAGAGGCGTGGTCTCTGTGTAGGTATATCAGTCTGGACATAACTCTATAAAACTGAGCAGACCATCCCGTTTGACACAATAATCTGTCTGGCAATGTCTGCCTTTTGCGCGCCATTCTGGCACAGCTTAACACAATTATAAAACACTGCTTAACTCATTTTACGCACTGCAAAACCGACCGCTTGCATGCAAAATTTCTAATTCTTCGATATATTAGTTGCAGACACATGGATACTTTTTTGCAAGACCATGTTTCATCAAAGCCAAGCTTTGACCAGCCCAAAGGAGCACTAGCCAATTAAATCACTGCATATTACACAATACAGCAGTGCAACAGACTTGGTAGCTACACACTCCATACTTCTCCAGTCAGATATCCTATGCGATATATATATTTTATGTCAAGTCTGTAGTTTAAGAGCTACGCTATACAATACATTACGATCCTCAAAATTTCCCAAGATGGCGGCAAATTCAATTTTTGAGTAATTTTAAGGGGAGCTTATGATTTACATCTATACATTTATAATTTTTTCAAAAAAATAACATAACATTGATTAAAGTATCTAAAATACAGAGAAAGAGAGACAGACAGACAAGAAAGGAGAGACAGGAAGAAAGAAAGAGAGAAAGATGGAGAAAAGGCGATTGGAATAAATTTTGTTGTAAAGTACATGCATAAAAGTGAGGATGGGGGACAGGGCCTGTAATCACTCAAGTTTGCCGCATTGTTCAATAGCCAGGAAATGTTCTTTCCTACGAAGATTTTTTTCTTGAAATGGGCCTCCATAGCTACCTAGAACATATTAAGGGATAGATCGATAGGTTACGTTGTTGCAGAGAATTCACTTTTTGGTGTAGATGAGAAGGTAAGATGGGCTGATCAGAAAGTAAAATTAGACCACTGATTAAGGTAATCCGAAGCACGTGCCTTTTAGGTGAGTCCAGGCTCCATCCATCAAGGTCTGGTGTGGGCTCCGGAATTAACAAGATGCATTAAATTAAAATCACAAGGCATAATGTTTAAACATCGGTTAATATTGCATTGCATGTACTGCATTTTATTCCTAAATGTAACATAAAACGGCAACAATCAAACGTGTTTCGGTCACCAAAGAAATACAGCATCTAAATGAAGTAATAACATATTTCATATAAAACAAAATGGGGAACCTACTGCTCACAAAACAATTTTTACCTGTTAGAGACAGAAAACTACCGAAGCCGACTGGTGTCATGTTGAAAAAAAATTATTTCGAGATTTCAAGGTAGTGTTTCAAAATTTGTACAAAAATAATAAAAAGAAATTTCGAGGTAATATTTTGAAATTTGGACAAAAAAATTGTTATCTCAAAATTTCGATGTTGTAATTTTGAAATTTGGACAAAAAATGATTACCTCGAAACATCCCTGTATACGTTATGTAATGCAAATTAAGCATGACCTTAGCATAACTCCAGATTCTCCGCCGAGTAATTGCACAGAACCCCGCAAATACATGTAACCCCCTCTACTGCTGAGTCACGCAGGGCGGAGCAGTTTCATTTCACCAAACTGTTAAATGGACTAATTCCCACAGGGTCTCACGCTGTTATTCTATGTTTTACTTCAGGAGCCCTTGATTTCAATGGGTTCATAAATGTATCTTCCTCACTTTTCAATGCTTTTTGTGTTACAATAAACATATAAGGCGTTTGAATAAGATTTGTTTTACGACCAAGATCATCTGAAAGATTCCATTTCAAGATGTACAGCTAGTTCCTACGGGCTAAATCAAAGAAAATGCGAAAGCTAACATTTTCACATCGTGCGTTACACAATAATGTATCAAAATGAATGTACTTGAAAGTTTGTCATGACATACCTTCCTCGCACCAAACCGCTATCAATTCATCTGAATTGAGTCCCCTTAATCGACAGTTATGTGAATGAATTTTGATTGGAATTTTGGGGATTCCGAGTTTAAAGCCGACTTGTGACCGCCCCACCCTTACATTGACATTGAGCACACGTTAGGTTAAGCCAAAGGCTTTCGATTCCGATACGTATATCAGTAAAGCACGATGTGAAAAGGGGCATTTACTAGCTTCAACATAAATGATTAAACTATTCACTCAATAATTAGATTAATTGCTGTAAAAACACTTACAAAATTATTAAAAGTTGATATTATCTAAAGTTATGGAACCTTAACAGATTTTTAACACAAATGTTCAACACAAACAGCACCACTTACAATCACTAGCAGAATTTAGCAATTAACTAGCAAAACTTAGCAATTTTAAAACTAAATAGCTACCGTTATTTAGGTTCATTTCGTCACAACTGCTTGTAAGCATTAAAATAACAAAAACATCCTTTGATGTTTTTTTTTATTATTTGAATTTAACATCCCTTTGTAAAGCTTTGATTGGAAATGTTCAATTATCTCTTTCTTGCAGAATCAGCCGGAGGCAATTATTGTTAAGAAACATACCGGTATAGGAAAATAGTAAAATGCATTTTAGTGATGACAGCCCCAGACCACCTAGCAATTCTAATATGCATCACAACATATACATGTAATGCACATACTGGGAATTTCCCCTGGGGCTGTTTATCGTAGAACCATATTATATTCATGCCACCCCACCCCCAAATAAAAAGATTTGTCTTCCTGCCCTTTAGGCCCCTAAATCGCTTTTTTGTTATCAAGATAGCATAAAAACAAAGTTTACCTGTTTTCATTGACAACAAAGTCAGCTTTTAAAGTAAACCTCTATTATATACATGCACATGTACTTTGGAGCTCATCTTTTGTCAATCGTGTCTTTTGCTTTTGCAAGGAATCTCTCCATTTCTTTTGCTGTTGGTCTCTCAGATGGTGTAGGGGAAAGCAGCTTTTTTAGCTCTTGACACCACTCAGGTAGAGGTGGGGTAAAACCCTCCAGGGTAATAATTGGTGACCAGTCAAACTAAAAATAAAAGTCATACGTTTATTATATTTACTTTTACCCTTTTTTCTTTCTCAAGTTAGCTATGAAGTAAAAAGTACAGAAATTGCTGTCTAAAATGTGGCACCATGGCATCAGATTCTGTTTATTTCCTTTCGTTGGACTTAAGCAAGGTTTGTGGAGAATGCATGACTAGTAGGTTTAACTCACCGAAAAAAAATCCGATATATTTTCTAAGTTCTCAAAGCAAGGCAGGTTGTAGACACGTTTCCCGTACCACATTTCCCAAAGCATGATCCCAACCGTGTACATATCTGCAGGTGCTCCGTACTTTTCCTTCTTCAAAATTTCTGGTGCCATGTAAACCAGTCTTCCACATAGTGTACCAGTGATGTCACACTGTCGTTTTGTCAGTCCCACATCAGCAAGTCTAACTTCGTCTTCGTCAGTTACCTGTTGGCATTAAAAAAGAAATGAAAAACCGCACGTTAATGTAAAGACGAAAATGCGCACTAATCATTTCCACGTTTCTGTTTAATGATCTTCTTATCGTGCTTATTTGTCTTTAGATAAAACATATGTATATTTTTTATGCAAATAGTTAACCACATATATATTTGTACAACCAGTCTTGTACCGAATACCGTCCATTTTTTTTTTAATTAGTCAAAACATTTGTGTCCTATCAGCAACAGTATAAGATAGTATGTAACTTAGGGTGTTTTTAACTTATGATATATAAAGCTGGAGTTTCTAAAAGTAACAGCGTGTAACTTTTTAACATATCCAAGAAATGGTGCGTATCTTACCAATATATTTTCCAGTTTCAAGTCTCGGTGAATGTATCCTAGAGAATGCAAGTATTTCAATCCAGTGCATATTTGCCCACCAAAGTCAGCAAAGGAACGCACAACACCAGGATCTAACGGCTGCTTCAAACCAGGATTTATGATCTCTTGTCGTCCTTTGGGACTTGCTACATCTGCACTAAACATATATGCCAGGGTTTGGGGGCAATACTCCATTAAAATGACAAGGCGCCTGTTACCATCTGGCTCTATGATGGCGCTGGTTCCTACGAACTTGATGATGTTTGGGGTTCTATTAAGTCTCCTAAATAAACAAAAATAGTCAAACTGATTATGTCAATATACGTATCAAATGTAGCGAATTATTTCCCTTTTTCCCACATTAAAAGTTGTACAGTGGTATTCCAATCCCCATATTTCCTAAAATGCCGCATTGAAAGCATTTTTTCAACAGCTAAAATTACAAATTTAGGTAGCAAAATCTTAGCATCTATCCTTATGTGTACATCTCACCTCAAAATTTCCTCCTCCAGTATAGCTTCACCCACGTTCTCTGCTGTTGCACACTGCTTCATCACCTTAGCCGTTGCTTTCATGTTGTTTCTTGATAGAAGGGTGACTGCATAAAATTCGTTTTCGCCAAACGAACCAGCGGCAACAGCAGGCAAGATCCAATGTATTTCCGTATTTGCGTTGATGTCTTCCCGGATTTTTGTCACGTACAACAACCCTAGATTTCCCTGTAAGGCATCATTCCGTTGGAGAACTTTCTGATACAGTTGCAACTTTAATTCCGCTGTCTGACTCTCACTTAGCAATCCTTTCGTGAGCAGAAGATCATCATGTAGGAGTTTTAGAATAGATTTCAGTTTATTATCCCACGTGGCAACTGCAGATTTCAAGTACCCCATCACTTTCCTCAAAAGGTTACCTTCGATAAAATCTTCGAGTACCTTTTCTGATATACTTTCCATAACTACCGCTTTGTGTTTTTTATACTCTTTGATTTGTTTCTTCTCTTTGAGCTTTTTTAGTACGCTCTCAAGGGCAAAAGGGGCAAGGAAAGGTGCAGCTGCAACACCTATTGGAAACCATAATGGAAAAGTGACGCCAATGATGACTTTCGCAGTGGTACTTATGGTGAAAGTAGCAGTGTCCTCCCCGTCTTTTAAGTCTGTGGGGTTTGCATCCTCGACTAAAAGCATATCGTTGCCGGTTAACTGACCTTCCAAAAGAGCAATTTGGTTCTCTATGGTGTTGAACTTTTCGTGGAAGTTCTCTATGATCTCCTTCTGTGCATTTTTAAAGAACTCCGTGTCGGTGTTCCATTCCTCCAGTAGTTCGCGGATTCTACCGAGGACTAGGGTATTAGCTTGCTGGTAAAGGTCATCCCAGCGTTCAGTTGGCTTTGGACAATCGCTGTCTTTCCATTTAAGGACACGTTCGTTATTCATATTCAGGTAATCTTTGATTTGCTGTACAGTTTGCTGAGCCTTTGTATTTAACATGCCTTGTAATTCAAAATGCATTTCTTCAACACCTTTTTTTATTTGTTCAATCTGTCGAATGATTTCGGCAGCCTTTAGTTCGAGCTCTTCTGGCCTTTCAAAGATGCTTAAAGCTGTCTTAAGATGAAAAGCAGACCTACGCAGAATGTGGACCACCAATCTAAAATTGAAAATGAAAAAATTAATTGTTTTCTTCTGGTTAATAATTGTTGTTGAAGTAGTTAATATTTGAGAGTTCATACCTGTTTAACCTATTGACCGCTCACTGAATTACACGTTAGAGAGCAACCATTAATTTTAAAAAAATATTAAAAAAATAATAAACAACCAAAGGAACGTGTTGTTACCGGTATTTAACCTCCTGGTATGATTTGAGGGTCTTGGGAAAAAGTTTCCTCAGCCCAACAAGAAACTTGGAGAACTCGGGTGTCGCACAGCCCTGTTTTAGTGCACTTTGAGCCTGAAATATGCACATCAAATTATAAAAAGGAAACATAAAATTTATCTTTGTACTAAAACGGGTACAATATTATACAAATATTTTGAAAAATACCAAATTGTCGTCAAAATATTAAAAAATGTTTTGTCTGATATGTGGTATCAGACACACTAGAAGCATGTTGCTTTCTGAAAAAAATTTGGAAATCATCGAAAATATTTCTAATCATATTAGGCCTAAGAAATATTTGAAAACATTTAGAAAAAACCGGTTTAAATGTTTTTAAAGGTTATCGAAAATATTAAAATGCATCTGATCTGTTTCATATGTTTAATGACCCCCATTAATCTCGTGCTTTTTTAATTCTTTATTGCATATTTTAAAAAAAACACTCATATATATGTGACTCCGAGTTTCACGGGCATACCCAGAAGGTATGCCCGATCGTCAGGGGGTTTATTTGAAAATGTTTTTAGTCGTTTATCTACAAGGTGTGACGACACTTACGTCGCACGTCGTGTCAGTTAAGTCACCTTATGCAGACACATGGTAATTATTTCAGTTCTTTAATTTAGAGTATCTGGTATTATCATTATCAACAGTTTTTCGACCAGGCAAAGGTTGCATAGGTGCTGATCTCTCCTTTGTGGCGCTGTTTTTTTATGACGTCCCATCTAATGTCACACTGAGTGTTACTTTCTTTTGATTTCCAAATGTATTTAGATAACTCAGTTTCTACTGCATATTTTTTGTCCCTAAATGACTTAGTGTGATTATTATATCTCAACTTGAATTGCCTGCAGCACAAATGCATATATATGTCATGCCTCCTGACGACTAAACCTCCTGACTACATGTATTAAACCTCCTGATTATTAAACCTGACGATGCCCGTGAAACTCGGAGTCGGGGTTATTACATGTCTCTTGTTTTTTATTTATTTATTTATTTATTTATTTATTTATTTATTTATTCATTTTAATTGTGCATAAATGCTCCATGTAGAAAATTTAATAGTAAAAGACTTGTTAATACTTGAGTACTAATACAAATAATTCTGTTCTAATACAGATTAAAAAAAGGTACTTACTATCAAACCCGGCAGGGAAAATACGAAATAGAAAATAGTCCAGGAAGAGAGGATGCAGCTTTTTCAATTTCTCCTTAAATTTGTCTGTTGTCATGTTTCTTAGACTTATATTTCTTTCTGCGATTTTGACCCTTCTCTATTCTATTTTGATATTTTCTGTATGTGGGGTAATTCTTTTTTCATTTAAAAATTTTATACACTGAATTTTGTTTAAATGAGCAAACTATTAAGGCATTGCAGTTTGGAGTTCCGAGGATTATGTCAATTGCTGTCATTATCCCGTCACACTAGAGGCGGAATGAGCAAGAATGCCGTCGGAAAGACGATTCTTTGTGCGTCCCTGGATATTCTAAGAGCATTCTAAAAATTGCGAGTGCATTCCAAATATTTTACTCATTCTTGTGGCCGGCCCGAACGTTCTGCTCATGTTAAAAACTTTCGAAGTGCATTCAAAGTGGAAAATTATCAAATGACATTTGAATGGTATTCTACCTGCACTATGACTGCATTCTAAACATTCTCACGGCATTCCGACGGCATTCTAAACATTCTGATCACAATGGAAAGGCACTTCAGATCCTGCTAATATGCGCCGGAATGCATCTCAAATGCATCTCGATCCTATTTCAGCCGGCAATCGAACTACACTCGTACGGCATTCGAAGTGTATTCGAAATATTCCGACTGCATTCTTACAGCATTATTGATATTTATAAATTTGTACCTACATTCGAACTGCATTTGAGAGCTAATACAGGCGAAATGTGCACGAATCATTCCAGGCGGATTCAAGCGCATTCTGAGTATTCGAACGGCATTCTCACAAGAATTAAGGTCAATTTGAAATTTCTTCCCGAATGTAGTACGAGTTTTTTTTTTTAATTTAGTCATTCCGGCTGGTTCTGCTTGATTACTTCTGATTCCGAATAAGTTTGACGGGGGCTTTAGTTGTAGCATTTGTTCAGTCTTTACAGGGCCGTAGCCTGAGCAAAATGCCAGGGGGGGCAGTAAGCGGACACGAGGGGGCAAGCCCTAAGCACAATCTTCAGACCACAATTTTTGCTGATGATACTCAGATTTATGTAACTTGTGATAGTCGGTGTGATTATTCTGTAGTGTCAGATATAGAGAAATGTATTGATGAGATCCGGGTGTGGATGCTTTCAAATAAGCTGGCTCTAAATGACACTAAAACGGAAATAATCTGGTTTTCATCTAAATTTAAAGATAGAAAGGACTGTGCTACTAACACTAATGTTCGCATTGGCAATGTGTCTGTGAAAGCATCTGTCAGTGCTAGAAATTTAGGTGTGTTTTTTTTATTCAGCTGGGATCTTTGACAAGCATATAGACAATGTTTGTAAGTCGGCATCTTTTTCACTGTGGAGAATAGGGAAGATTCGGAATTTACTAAATATAGAAACAACTACAAAATTAGTTCATGCTTTTATTACATCAAAA